AATGAGATCATCAGAGGTACAGCACAGGTTGAACAACTGGGAGATAAAGTTAGGGAGGCCAGACTGAGATGGTTTGGACATGTCAAGGGGAAGGACCGTGGGTCTATTGGTAGAAGGATGTTAGAAATGCAGCTGCCAGGAAAAAGACAAAGAGGAGATATATGGATGCAGATAGAGAGGACATGAAAGTAGTTTGAGTGAGGACAGAGAACGCAGAGGGCAGAGTGAGGTGGAGGAGGATGACTCGCTGTGGCGACCCCTGAAGAGGGAAAAGTCAATAGAAGAAGAAGATGATAAATAATTGGTAAATGGTAAACAGTGTTAGAGCAGTCATCCTCCAATGAGCCAGCTGGGAGTTCGATTCGACCAGCTGTCACAAGGTGACGTGTACCAGGGCAAAACAATGAACCCCTCATTGCCTCTGATGTGTGTCCCATCAGTGTATGAATGTGATCTAATTATCTGATTAGAATCTGATTATTCAATTCAATTTCAATTCAGTTTATTTATATAGCGCCAAATCACAACTAAGTTGTCTCAGGGCATTTTACAGAAACATTCACATACATAAAAGCCAAATAGTAAAGTTCTCTATCTAAGGAATCCAGCAGACAAGTTGAATCTTGGCTTCGTTGCAGTCTCCCATCCTGAGCAAGCACAGTGGCAAAAGTGGAAAGGAAAAACTCCCTTTTAAAAGGAAGAAACCTCCAGCAGAACCAGGCTCAGGACAAGCGGCCATCTGCTTTGACCGGCTGGTTTGAGAGGACAGGAAGGAGAGACAGACGAACACAGAATGGTAGGTCCAGATATATGTGCAGGTGTACCTGAAAGACAAAAAAACACATGTTAAGGATAGAAAAAATAATTACAAATACAAAACAGGTTGAGCAGAGTAAGTAAAGACAGTAGCAGAGTGAAAAGTGTGGTCAGTTTGTCCTCCAGCAGTCTAAGCATATAGCAGCATAACTAAGGGACAGCTCAGGAAACCCAAGCCGACCCTAACTATAGGATTTAGCAAAAAGGAAAGTCTTAAGCCTAGTTTTAAAACTGGATAATGTGTCAGTCTCACGGACAGAGATTGGAAGTTGGTTCCACAAGAGAGGAGCCTAATAACTGAAGGATATGCCTCCCATTCTGTTTTTGTAAATTCTAGGAACCACAAGTAAACCTGCAGCCTGAGAGCGAAGTGCTCTGTTAAGAAAATATGGAACAATAAGATTTGTAATATAAGATGGAGCCAGGTTGTTGAGAGCTTTGTAGGTTAGAAGTAAGATTTTGATTTCTATTCTGGATTTGACAGGGAGCCAATGGAGAGAAGCTAAAACTGGAGAAATATGATCTCTCCCACTAACTCCAGTTAAGACTCTGGCAGCAGCATTTTGGATCAACTGAAGACGTTTTAAAGAAGTATTTGGACACCCAGATAATAAACCACTGCAATAGTCCAGTCTAGACATGACAAACGCATGGACCAGTTTTTCTGCATCATTTTTAGATAAGATGTTTCTAATTTTAGTGATATTAAGCAGGTGGAAGAAGGCAGTTCTAGTAATATTTTTAATGTGGGGGATAAAAGACATGTCCTGATCAAAAATAACACAGAGATTTTTAACATTAGAGCTGGAGGACAGATTAATGCCACATGGTTTAATGGACAAATATAATTGTGTGTCATCAGCATAACAATGAAAATTCATTCCATGCTGTTTAATAACTTTATCTAATGGAAGCATATATAAAGTAAAGTGTATTGGCCCAAGCACTGAGCCCTGAGGAACTCCATGACTAACTTTGGTGTATGAATAAGATTTATTATTTACACTTACAAACTGGAATTTATCAGATAGATATGATTTAAACCATTTTAGAGCCGTTCCTGTAATCCCAATATCATATTCAAGCCTCTGTAGTAAAATATTGTGATCAACTGTATCAAATGCAGCACTGAGGTCTAACAGGACCTGTATAGACACAAGTCCATTGTCTGAGGCCATGAGAATATCATTAGTGACGTTTCCTAGTGCTGTTTCTGTGCTATGATGAGCTCTATACCCTGACTGAAACTCTTCAAACAGATTATTTCTGTGTAGACATTCACGCAACTGACCTGCAACTATTTTCTCAAGAATTTTTTAGATGAAAGTTAGATTAGATACAGGTCTATAGTTGGCCAGAATTTCTGAATCAAGGTCAGACTTCTTAAGTAAAAGTTTAATTACAGCAACCTTAATGCTCTGTGGTACATAACCATTCATTAAAGACAAATTAAGTAAATCCAAAATGTGGACATTAATTAGGGGAAATACCTCTTTAAACAGTCTGGTTGGGATGGGATCTAGCAGACATGTGGATGGTTTGGATGACGTTATTATTTTTGACAATTCAGAGAGCTCAACAGGACAAAAACTGTCCAAACATAAATCAGGCTCTAGTGGATTTTTTAAAGTTGCCTCATTTGACAGGGGACTAGAGATAGTAGAAGGAAGGATGCTTTGCATTTTCTCTCTAATTAAAATAATTTTATTTATAAAGAATCTCATGAAGTCATCACTACTTTTAGTTGTAGGGACACATGGTTCAACAGAAATGGGACTTTTAATTAGTCTAGCAACAGTACTAAACAGAAACCTAGGGCTATTTTTATTCTCCTCTGTTAAAGATGAGTAATATAAAGTTCTAGCTTTACAGAGAGCTTTTTTATATGTTAGCAGACTATCTTTCCAAGTTAAATAAAATTCTTCAACATTAGTAGAGCGCCATTTTCTTTCCTGGTTTCTAGATGCCTGCTTTAAAGTACGTAACTCAGAATTGAACCAAGGAGCCAGTTCTCTGAATGATTACTTTCTTTTTCAGTGGAGCAATTTTATCAAGTGAAATTTGCCTTGAAGTTGTAAGATGATCAACTAGATGATCTAAGTCACTGTTCTCTGATGCATTACTCTGCAAGACAAAGGAAAACATTGATGGAAGAGATTGTTTAAATTTGGTTACAGCATTTTCTGATAAGCACCTGCTGAGATGAAATTTACTCTCAGTGACTGTGTAGTCATTTAATGTAAACTCAAAGGTTATTAAAAAATGGTCAGACAGAATAGGATTTTGAGGAACTATTACCAAGTCCTTAATCTCTACACCATAGGTCAGAACTAAATCAAGAGTGGGATGATAAGAATGAGTAGATGTGCGGACGTTTTGGGTAAAACCAAATGAGTCTATTAAATTATTAAAGACTATGTTTAAGCTATCACTTTCAACATCTACATGAATATTGAAATCACCCATTATTATGACTTTATCAGTATTTAATAGTAAGTTAGTTAATAATTCTGAAAATTCAGACAAAAACTGAGAATAAGCGCCTGGTGGACGATATATAACAACTAGTAAAAGTGGTTTGGCATTAATTACTAATCTTGACTGAAAAATAGAAGCTACTCCTCCACCTCAGCCAGTTGTTCTAGGAATATGAAAATTTAAATAATTAACAGGAGTGGATTTCTTTATACTAACAAAATTCTCCTGTTGTAGCCAAGTTTCTTTCAGACAGATCAAATCAATATGATGATCAGTTATCAGTTCATTAACTAACAGGGATTTAGAGGAAAGAGATCTAATGGTCAATAATCCACATTTAATGATTTTACGATTTTGCTCTGGTAAAGTAACTGTGTTTATTTTAATCAGATTTTTATGGTTTATATTTTTAGAGTTGATTTTTGGTTTATTTAATTTGAGCCGTGGGCGAGTTGACACTGTTTCAATGTGGGTGTGGGTGGGTAACAGAGGACAAGCAGCAGAGAGGTGTGGAGGACTACAACTCTGCTTCCTGGACTGGACCCTGGGTTGTCAATAAATTGGGGGATAAACAAAATCGGCCATATTTCTAGAAATATTCTCTACAGACTCAGATTATCTTTGTAGAGATGTAGTAGAGTGCTGTATAAATGTGTGTGTGTGTGTCGAGGTAAACTAAGTCACATGTTGTGTTGTAGTGTTTGTACGTTCTTGATTAGATAGAAATGCACTATATAAGTACAGCCCATTTACTATTTACATAATTAATTGTGGAAAAAGTGAAGCGCAGTGAATACCTTCCAGATGCACTGATTGAACAGAGCAACAAGGAGAACATTTCAAAACAAAAAGTACCTTTGGACAATCAGCATTTGCATACAAGGCTACAAAGATTGGAACAACCTCCCCATAAACCTGAAGACCAGCACAAACTACAGAACCTTCTCCAGACAGAGAGAGAGAAAAGAAAGTATTTTAACAACTAAAAATTATCAGCACTGACATTCAACTTTTTTAAATACGATCAGAATTTATACACTTTTGATATGCATTGTCAATGTATGAAGTAATATTTTGCAAGTAAATGTAATGTTTTCTATGTACTTTCTTTTACTTCGTGTTTCTAACTTAGATATATTTGGTATTTTGCCTTGCCTGCCACAGGGACTGCACATGGACATCAGCTAAACGCTATAATCTGGTACAGTGCATTTGAACTCAAATAGAGATCAATGATTTTTTTTCTGCACATGGTACAAAGACACACACACACACACACACACACACACACACACACACACACACACACACACACACACACACACACACACACACACACACACACACACACACACTCA